GCGGGCGGAAAAACACCTCCTCAGCCAGCTCTCTCTGCTGTGTGCTCTCTCCAGAGCTTGCTGGTGCTGTTCCTGCACTGTCTTGGCCTAGATATTAGCATATGAATGGGCCTTGGCGATTTGTATATCAATAAGTTGCGACCCATTCATATGTAAATATTGCGTCCAATTCATATGCAAATCAATGCCGCCGCCCCTACCCCCTCCCATTCTGCTGCTAAGGAAGAAAAAACTGCCTGAAGACTGCAAGAATAAAGGTAAGTTTGAGCATGTGTATGGTGTATATCTTCGTTATATTGGCGCTCATTGTGAAAATTTTTGTTACATTGGCAGTCATTGTGAATACTTTCGTTACATTGGCGGTCAATGTAGACAAGGGGGCTGGCCGGGAGGAGCACAATATTGAAATAGTGGGGACAGCTCTGGGGCCTCGAGGACCCATCAAGCAGCAGCCGCGACCTCATGCTGGAGAGAGAGACTCGCCTCGGCCGCTCTCCCGCAAGTCAGTGTGTTTTGTTTTTTTCTTTACAGCCAGGAGGACAGTTTAGGTGATTAGTGTAGTTGCTATTATACAACATGGAATAGAACATAGTTGAACTTAAGTTTCAAGTTCAACTCTATTCTATTTCATGTTCAATAATAGCATTATATTACTAATACACTACAAGCAGGCAGTCCCAGTGGCGGACCTAAGGATCAAAGGGCCCTGGTGCAAGATTTTTTTTCGGGTCCCCCTCTGTATAAAGTATTGCTGGGAGTTGTAGTCCTCTGTAGCTGATGCCATTCTGCACTGCTGCAATGCTGAATGGCACCAGCTATAGAGGGCTACAACTTCCAGCAATACTTTATACATAAATGCAGAACAATTCCATCAGTTACAGAGGGTTAAAACAATGTGACTTAAGGCACATACCTCGTTTGCCCACTCTGTCTCCTGCAGCCCTTCTGCTCCTGGTCACTGGAAAGGCAGAGCCCGCACTGAGGCATGTACAGAGCATCCAGGGCCAGGCAAAGCAATTGCATGACTGAAGGGATGCCGGGGATGTCCTGTTTGATAAAACATCCACGTCCCTGAAAAACATTGTCACCGATGTTTTAGCAAACAGGACATCCCCGGGATCCCTTTAGATGGGATTGTTCCATGCCCATCTCTGAATGATTTGAAGCCCGGGGCACGTGCCCCCCTCGGTATGCCACAGCTAGGACACTGGGGGGGGGGGGTGAACCCCCTATCCCCCCTTGTCTACGGCCCTGAAAGTGACAGCTGTACAGATTCTTCTGCCCTTGGCCGCTCTGTGGCTGAGGAGAAGAATGTGTAATTGTTGTCAGCCTGTCACTACTGTGTGCCGGCTCCACTGATCGAGAGCGGCGATCACTCTTCTCAGCTCTCTCTTCTCAATGAGAAGAGAGATCGCCGCTGCAGCGGCCGTTTTCAAAGGACACCGGCTCAGTCCCCCTGCAGGTGTCCCTCCCTACAGACTAGAAGACGTTGGGGACCGGACCTCAGTGGGCCCTTCAACTGCCTTGGGCCCCGGGCCCCGCACCAGCTGCACCGCCGGTAGTTCCGCCCCTGCCGCAGTCCTATTGGGTCTTGTAGTTCTCTATGCTATGAGGCTGTATGAATTGCTGTCCTCCTGGTCTGAACCTGGTGAGAGCCGCCCCGTTATCGCCCTGCACTCCTGAACATCATTGATTAATACTCTCTTGAACCAAAATCTGCTGGCGCTGTGTTTGATTTTGTCTGCAGTTAGTATTAGTAAAAAGGCAGTGTGGTTAGTGAATAGGGAGTACAGTTAGTGAAATTGGAGTGCGGTTAGTGTTAGTTTATGGTCCTGCTCAACATATATTGCGGTTCTCTGTACTGTTACAGTACGCTGTACTTCTTCTGTATAATGCTACATAGAATTTTGTGTTCTGGTGAATATGGTGAATATGTCACTAGTCCAGGCGCTGCTAGGCAAAGTAGGCAGCTTGTGAGCCTACATCCGAAAATGTTGATTGCGCTATACATGTTAAGTATCGCCGCATACGCCACAGCGAGAGCCACTATAGCTTAATAGAGCACATATAAAATGTATGGGGATGTTGGGGTGGCATTGTGGCGGGGGACAGAAAATTTCACCTTCGCCTGTGTAGGGGGCCACAGCAGCCCAGTCTGCACCCGACACCGCTGGGTCTGCCCCACGCTGCCCAGATCCCGCATTCTTTTAGCGGCACCACGGACAGAGTCCCCTCTCCTCGTTCACAGCCTCCCTTCTGTGGACGAATTCCTCCAGGCAGCACACCAGCCATATTCGGGCATACATCACGAGTGTCCCGATCCACCACACAGGCCGTCCGTCTCCTGATTCCTGGATCCACATGTAAGTGTCAACACATTGATTCTCTGCCATGTCTTGTCCAGTTAGCTAGTGCTCCATTGTTGCTGCACCCTTTGTGTTCTTTTGTTGACCTTAGATGTGATGGCATTTCAATTTTTAGGCTTTTTCCACCCTTTATTTTCACCTAGTGATCTGACCAGTAACACACTTCCTGTCTTAGGGTGACAATGCTCACTGATTGAACTATATCTATGGAGGAGCAATGCTGTCACCCTAAGACAGGAAGTGCCATGGGACAACACAATACCCCCCCCCCCCCTTTTCATCTCGTCAAAACACAGGGGGAGATGTTCTGAGGTTTACAGAGCTAACAATAGTCCTTTGAATTTCAGTTCAAAAGAGGTAATGTGCTGTCAGCTCACTACAGGAAGTCAGGAGCACACAGGATTTCTGCCATGTCAACAAGTAATTTTCTGTAGTTGCAACCTTTAGAGACAAAACATGGGAAAATGTGCACGTATTGCATAGATGTACTCACTTTGGGGTTTTTTTTGTTTCTTTTTCCCCACGCATACACTTTAAGCTATTGCCATTTATATATCATAAAGGCAGACAATCTTATTTAATACAAGTTATTTTCTTGGTCTTCACTGTTTCACTTACCCCATATCACACTGAGAGTCTCCATCCCCAGACTGCTGTGATCCACATGACAGGAGTAAGTGTCTTCCTCCCTTGCTGGCACTTCCGCACTGACTCTGATCTGATAGGTGCCGTCAGGATGGGGGAGAACTGAACTCATTTCATCTGAAGGAACATCATCTACCCCATTCTTCACCCACTTCACATCCACAGCTCGGGGGTGAAACCCGTACACCAGGCACTGAAGTCTTATCAGCCCGTCTGATTGAAGTCGACCCCACACCTTCACCTCTGGACGCACTGAGAGAGAGAGAGCAAAATAAAAATCTGCTGCTTGTACAGAAGGTCACATGTTCTGATGATTTTCACATGAAGGTGTAGCCCCAATATATATATATGGACTTCTTTCCTGTCCTTTTCAGATGTCCCTCCAGCGCTGGTGCGGGTCTTCGATCCATCGCTGACTCCTCTGTCCTCCTCTTCCCTGATGTCCCACTGAGTCTGTGCGGGTGCACGCTGCTCCATAGACTTACCTTGTGTCTCTCCTCGTCTCCCAACCAAAGATCTGAACTGCGCATGCGCCCGCCCCAAGATCCTTTGCGGATGCCCGAGACTCTTCAGATGTTTGGACTGGAGCGTGAGGTGAAGACACAGGTAAGTTTAAAACTGTTTGAAAGGTTTTTTTTGCAGAGCAGAGACTGTGATGTTGCATGAGGGATCCTTGAGACTGCAACTCCCAGGAGGCTGTGTGTCAGAGAGGAGGGGGACTCTGGGCTGTGGCTGCTAAGCGCGCTCAGTGCGGGAGATCCCAGTGAGGAGGACAGATCTGTGTGATCCTGTTGTGAACTGGTGTTGTGAGTAACAGAGCTGTGTGGCTGCCGCTGACACAGAGGGGCACACAGGCTCTGTGCAAGCTGTTAGAGGAGAGACTTTGTTGGGGGTGCAGTGTCTGGAGGCATATACAGTGATACCTTGGTTTAAGAGCATAATTCGTTCCAGAAGCATGCTTGTAATCCAAAGTGCTTGTATATGAAAGCGAATTTCCCCATAGGAAATAATGGAAATTCAGATGATTCCTTCCACAACCCAAAAATATTCATATAAAAATGATTATAATACTGTACTGTAATATAATACTGTACAAAATATAAAAGAAAAGTAAACCAATTACAGGTACCGGTGTGAAACCAAGTTACTTGTAAACCAAGGTATTACTGTATAGGTTATAGGTTCTGATGAAGGGGGCGTGCCCCAGAAACACGTAAACCTTTTGCTAACACAGGGATAGAGGACACTGGTGAATTTTATCACTCCAGACCCTCCCTGCCAGAGGTTCCAACTTCTCATCCTACTCTACTGGTTTTTATTCAACTGAATTGTTGTAAGTACAGCCTTAGAGCTGCGTGTTTTTATTAATAAATCACTCTTTTACACTATGGAGGCGCTTTCTTTTGTTCCTTGTTTCTTAGACTGGTGGTCAATCTGACCTATGGGAGCTGCCTCTCTCGTGTTTGCTGCACGAGAGAATACAAAAAATGTACTTCCATAGGACAGAATGAGTGTAAATGAAAACAATACTAGCCAATAAGATAGTGAAAGGAATACAAAAACAAGCTGCTAAAAAGTCTCTGCAGCCAATTCCTTTTCCTCATAAAGACAGATGTGACAAGTGAAATGGATGTAATAGATAAAGGAATCTGAGTGTTATAGGGAGCAGTATGTGACATCAGATATTAGAATTACCGTATTTTGCGGTCCATAAGACCATAGGACGCAGGGAGGTCCGGCGCGCCTTATGGAGCACTCGACAGACTGTAGCTTCTGTCACAGCTTCTATGACAGAAGCTGTGACAGAAGCTGCAGTTAGTGACCGCTGAGACAGGTGGCGCTGTGATTACAGCGCCACGGTCTCAGTGATCACACAGAGCAGACGAAGAAAGTCCGTTCTTCGTCTGCTCTATGGTGATCTCGATCGTCGCCGCTGCTCGGTTTTAATACGAGCGATCTCATTAGATCACTCGTATTAAACGAGCAGTGGCTCCTATTGCTGAATATGATCGCCGCCGCCGCTGCTCTCATTAGATCACTCGTATTAAACGAGCAGTGGCTCCTACTACTCCCCCGGCGCCCGAAACTGCATCATAAGACGCAGGCACATTTTCCCCCTCCTTTTGGGGGGAAAAAAGTGCGTCTTATGGAGCGAAAAATATGGTATACGTTACAAAGGAGTAAATTTAACATGAACCTGTAGTAAGAAAACCATATTTTGTAAAGGGGTCAGATATGGAAGGAACAGTAGAAAGGCATCATGGCACACTCACAAGTCAGCATGTAAAAAAACTTGTCTCACCACTGAGGTCAATAACAGAGGCTTGGATAAACGTCTTCTGCAGAAAATGTGAAAGCCGCACAGCCGCGCCAAGGCACCTCTTATAGTGCGGTCCTAACTCTAAACTATGAGAGTCTCCATCCTGGAGCACATGGGGCAGAAGATATCAAATTGGGTGCAGGTTTGTCAGGAGGAAGCCCAACCTCCCTTAAAGGCACAGGAACACACAAGGGATCCTGCACATCTCAATGGCAGCTGAGACCAAGGCACAAAGCTTTTTTAAATGTGAAGGCTTTAGGGTACATTGGAGCAGTGGTCCTGTCCTAATTTTTTTGCTGCAATTAATTCCCTCCTCATTACCAGTGAGAACCAATGACCCTTGTATATGACTGTTAGAGGTACACAGGAGCAGACATGCCTGTTAGACATGTGCACCGGCAAAAAAGTAGTTTAGTTTCCTTTCGATTCGGATTTTGCGTTATTTCGTTTGTCGGGATTCAGGTCCGAAAGTCAATTCGTTTCGGGATTTGGACGAAATTAGTTAGCGGTAGTCTGTACAAATTTTCGTTTGTGGATGAATTTTCATTGCAGCAAAGTGACATCACAGTCTGCAGAAGAGAAAAAAAAAAGCGTGAGGTTCCCCCCCAATTGATACCAGACCCTTTAGGTCTGGTTGGACTGTTAGGAGGGAACCCCAAAGTAAAAATAAAAAGTGTGTGGGGTTCCCCCTAAAATCCATACCAGGCCTTTTAGGTCTGTTAGGAATTTTAAGGGGGAACCCCACCCCCCAAAAAAAAATTTCCTACCAGACCCTTGATCCGAGCACAGGCCAGGAAAGGGGGGGGGGGGGGAGGTGACGACAACAATCGAGCACCCCCCTTCACCTTACCAGGCCACGTGCCCTCGGCTTTAGGAGGGTGTCCCCATGCCGATGGGGACAAGGGCCTCTTCCCCACAACCCTGACCTGGTGGTTGTGGGAGTCTGCGGGCAAGGGGGCTTATTTGCATCGGCAAGGGGGCACCCAGATGCCGCCCCCCCCTTGTGAATGAGTAAGTACTTGTGCCCCTACTCATTCACTAAAGGGTTCAAATTCAAAGTAAATGAACAAACCACACTTTTAGAAAAAATCCTTAAATTGAATTTTTTTTTGACTATTCCTTTAATTAAAATAAATAAATAATGGCTCCATCGATGTAATCCAGCGTCAATCACGATGCACAACGCCCGCTGAAATAAAAAAAGTCCCATACGACGACCGTCTGAACCCGACGAAAACTCGCCACAAAATGACATCTCCTGCCCGAAAGTAAACAGATGGGCGGAGCGAACCGTGACGTCACGCGGCTCGCTCCGCCCATTTGACATTGTCAGCTGTCATATAGTATACCACATAGAATGTGGGGGCTCCCGAATGCCATTTGTGTCTGTGAGCCGAGGTGTCATATGAAAAGTATTATGGGAGCTCCCAAATGCTACCGTATGTACTAGTATTTGACAGCTGACAGCGTGATCAGTAAAGTAGTTTTGCTGACATGTAGACAAACACACGCATCTACCTGATGAACAGTATCAGTGAGTCCTGGCTCAGTAAGTGCACTCCTTTTTATTAGGCTTTCTCCTTTCCCACAGTCACATACGTGTGTGCTTTAGGCCTCATTCACACAGCGTTAATTCGGGCCATACACATCTGTGTAGCGTGCAAGGGCATATCGGGCCATTCCCAGAGGGACAGGTGCTGTGTTTGATTGCACACAACAGCCTGTTCTTCCCTATGGACATGGAGGACACCACCAGGAGAAGAAGAGGGCACCTGAATCAGGTCAGCCATGTGCACTGCAAGTCCCTGTTATTTCTGCCTTAAACCACTAGACCTCTGCACTGTGCGTTGTTACTGATCTCTATACTGTGCGTCACACTGCTGGCCTCTGTATTCGGCATTACACCACTGACCTCTGTACTGTGCGTTGTTACTGATATGTGTACTCTGCGTCACACCCCTGACCTGGTGGAGTTAAGTCCGGGGCAGGGTAGGGGTTAGGTGGGGCAACTGGTGGCGAGTAACTTTTAGGCCTGGCTAGTAGCTCAGGACCTGACATTTTGAGCCTTGGTATAATGTATATAGTGTAGTGTATATATAGTGTGCAGGTATAGTGTATATAGTGTGTAGGTATAGTGTAAATAGTGTAGTGTGTACATAGCGTGTAGGTATAGTGTAGTGTGTAGGTATAGTGTATATAGTGTGTAGGTACAGTGTGTAGGTATAGTGTATATAGTGTAGTGTGTAGGTATAGTGTAGTGTGTATATAGTGTGTAGGTATAGTTTATATAGTGTAGTGTGTATATAGCATGTAGCTATATACACACTATAGCCTCCTCCCTGCAAAGATCTGCCCATCATGGACAGGCAGATCGTATTTGCGATCATCGCAAGCCCTCCCCGCTGAGGCAAGGATTTCCGATGATTGCAGTGCTGAGCGGGCAGTGTGCGGCAACTGTCATAAGATAAGAATTATCATAAGATTATTTAAGAGGGTGTGTTTAGGGGCGGAGTTTAGGCCGGGGCAGGATAAGTATTAGGTGGGGCAACTGGTGGCTAGTGACTCTTAAGGCCTGGCTAGTAGCTCAGGAATGTGAAATTTTGAGCCCTGGTGTATATAGGGTGTAGGTATAGTGTATATTCAGGGGTGTGAAAATTTAAAAAAAAAAACTACTTGGGGGCCAAATCTACTTGTCCCAATACAAAAAAATTGTTTTAATCAAAACAAGGGATGCAGCAATTACGGTTTTTCGGCATCGAGTACGAGTTCCGATTTTTTGCTTTCGGATCTCGCCGACACTGAATATTAATAACGGTGCTTGCGCTGGCATGGAGCTGGCTTCCCTGTTAATCAGGAAGCCAGGAGGCGGGTAATGACATCCCGCCCAGGTTTCCGATTGCCACGGAAGCCGGCTCCATGTTGTTTGGCCTGCTTGATTGTGATTGGCTGGGAAACCTGCTTCCCGGTCAATCAGGAAGCCGGGTGGCTAGTAATGACCTGACTGACCGGGAAACTGGCTCGATGCTGATTGGCCAGGAAGCTGGCTTTCCAGCCAATCAGCAAGGATCCGGCTTCCTGGCCAATCAGAAAACCAGGAGGTGGGTCATTACTTGCCGCGCGGCTTCCTGATTGCGCGGGAAGCTGGCTCCATGATCCCCTACGGCACTGCCAGTCAGAGGAAATTTTCATATGGCCGTAAGTTCCAATATCGGGGAAGGTATCGGAGCAATTGGGTGAGTACGAGTACTCGCCCAAATACTCGGTATCGGCACTGATACTAGTATCGGTGCACCCCTAATCAAAACATATTTGACCGTGCTAAATAGCGCTTCTCACTGGTCAGCACAGCTATCTGACCGCGTTGACCAATGAGTGCTTGCAATTTGCGAGCAGAATTCAAAATGCATAATGGTGGCTGCAATCTCAAAGCACATGCAAAATGTCCTACGCATGCGTTTATTTGCATGAAGATGGCGGGGGGAGCAGGGTTTCATTTTTATTTTTTACTTTTTCGTATCTTTATATATATTTTTTTAAACTTTTTTAATTTTCCTTTATTTAATTTTTCCACTTAATGTTCTAATATTCAGCGCTGCGGTACTTTGACTGACATTTATTCCGTCATACAACGCTGTACTGAAATTAATTTTATACCATTTTTTGGGGACAGATAGAGCTTTCTTTTGGTGTTATTTAATATTTACTATAGTAAGGAAAAATTACCGAAAATAAAAAAAAATAAAAAAATAACTGTTTCCCCTATATTAAATTATAAAACATTTATTATTACCAAATTTTTTGGTAAAATATAAAAGTCGGGGTCACATCAGGTAAAAAGACACCAAACATGTCAAGCCTTAAATTTGCACGTGCGTGCAAAACCTCAAAAAACTACAATACCCAAAATTGGCCATAGGCGATGCTTTACAAGCTTTTACCGTTCATCAGTTTAGTATCATCAGTGATTGATGGCCCTAGAATTATTGCGCTCACTCCAACGCTCGCGGCAATATGTAACATGGGTAGTGCAATTGTTGTTTTCGCGCGCTGGTGCATCTGACGCGTATTTACGTTTAGATGTGCATATACGTAGGGGTTAATGTCAATGTGGGGGTTAATGTTATTGCTATCGCATAGGGGGATAACAATCCCCCTATATAATAGCAAAGGCACACTGACAAGTCCTCTTTATGGAGACATTATGGGTCTTTAAGACCCCTAATATCACCTGGGGACCCCAAAAGAAGCTGATGAAGCAGATATCTGCTTCATCAGCTTATTTTCTCTGGTTATAGCAGCCAGATGACTGACAGGTGAATGACAGGTGAATGCGGAAGTGATGTAATACACATCACTTCTGTATTCACAGTATTGAGGGAGATCAGCGAGGAAAATGCTGATCTCCCTCACATCTTCCTCCTGACATCCTCCCCAGCCGGTCCCAGGCCGCAGATGGTGTAGCGGATCCCCGGATTGAAGGTGAGGATGCAGGAGGGGGGTGGCGGCACTCTAGGAGGGGGGCACGCAGCCACAACATACACGCGACTGGCGGCTATGGAACCGCCGATCGGTTGCATGTCAAACAGCCGGTAACGGCTCCTCAGAACGGACGGGAGGATGTCCTCAGAACGCACTGGGGGGTGCGCGCGAGCAGAAAAAAAAGCCATCTAATTACAGCAACCCGCCTATGTGAGTTTGCCATCTGTCCATTTTTTCACAACGGGCGGACGGCAAGCAGTTAAGGTCCCCCGCCCCCCACAACGCAAACACGTGTTGTATGCGTCTACTTGCAAAGACAAAAATTGTGCCACACGTTATATATATCGTCACAAATGTCGCAGTGAGAGCAATAATTCTAGGCCCTTCAATCACTGATAGCGCTAAACTGATGAGCCATAAAAGCATTTAAAACGTCGCCTATGCGAAATTTTGGTTATTGTAGTTTTTTGCGGTTTCACGGATGCACGCAATTTTAAGGCATGACATGTTTGGTATCCATTTGCCCGGCGTGACCCCAACTTTTATATTTTACCAAAAAATTAGCCATTATATTCTGTTTCTGTTTAGTGTATGTTATCCTAAAAATACTTGTTTGATAAACATTTGCGCAAATACCGTGTGACATAAAAATTGCAACTAGCATGTTTCTATTCTACAGGGCACCGGATTTCCGAAAACATATCATTGTTTGGGGGTTGTAACAAGGACACTCCACTGTAGACCGGAGGTGCAAGTAAAATGCAGTTTATTTAGGGCAAACACAAATATATAATTTCATCCACAGGGTAGACCTTCCCTGTGCACAATACTGTTTCTAGCCGCAACATAAATGACAGTCTTGTATATGGCTCGGTAGCTTCCCCAGCTGCAAGACACTCACGCTGCTCACCCCTCGTGAGCCCTCGCTCTACTCTCTTAGCAGTCTGTACCACAGGTCCTAGGGTCACCAACCTTCCTGACCTCTCCCCTCGTGGGCACTCGCTCTGCTCTCCCAGCAGTGCGTCCGACAAGTCCCTGGGTTCACTGACCTTCCTGACCTCTCCCAGCCACCCCTGGCTGTTCCGTGTGCGTCCAGCACGCACCCGAGTCTGCCTGTGTCCGTGTGCTCCCTGCACACACACAACTCCAACACTCCCCTGAGCACTGGGCTGGCTGCTCTCAGCCACCTGATCAGCCCAAGCTTGTAATTGGCAACACCTGGCCCCAGGACTGGAGTTCTCATCCCACCCAGAGCTCTAAGGCTGGGCACACACCTTACAACCATCGCAAGACTTCTGTCTTGCGATGGTTGTAAGGTACTTAAAAAAACGTACGATCTGCCTATGTTGCATAGGCAGATCGTACTTGCGATGATCGCAAGCCACGCCCCCTGAGGGGGGGGCTTCCAATGACCGCAATGCCGAACGGGCAGTGTGCGCTTGCGCACATCGGCCCGTGCGGCTGTTATCGTACGGACATGCCACAAACCCGCCGAACATCGTACGATGCTCGGCGGGTTTTCGAACATGTCCGTAAGTTTAAAGTCGTGCGACCTTACAGTAGTAGAGGTTGCACGGCTTCCACACACCTTACGATCATCGTACGATCGCGGGATTTCCCACGATTATCGTACGATAATCGTAAGGTGTGTGGGGACCCCAAGAGATCTCCAGAGCTCCAGATCCCAGCTACATTTAGGAAAAACTGGAAGAACCTGAAAAGCCAGGTTCTTCATTATAACATGCTTTACTTTCTGGACCCTCTCAGCCCCTTTGGCTGAGAGTCCAGGGTGCCAAGGTCGCCATCCTCCACCGTGGCATTGGCTTACACTGATTCAGGATCCAAAGCTTTTTTTTATCCAAACATTCAGATTTTATCATTTGTGTGCAAATGTAAGAAATTGCTCCGGACAGCAAGTGGTGGCTCGGGTTCAAAAACATTCGCCATCACTATCCTAGTCTGACAGCGGCACAGACAAGTGCCCAGAGGTAGCGGGGGAGGGGGTGTGTATACAGGGGGAGCGGACCTACTAGCGGACCTACTGCCCCTGTGGTCCCGGGCCCCCCACTGAAAAAATGGTGCTCGCATCTGCCCCTGGTGAAAACATTTTGGTTTTTAAAGTTTATTGGCACTGGTATAAAATGTATCCTGTATAGGGGCAGATCGGATACATTTAAATATCTGATTGGTTGTTGGGGCGACTGTTTACTTTTCTTATATTTTTTTTCAGATTTTACAACCTGTTGAATTTGATGTTGTGTTATGTTTTGTGCGTATCTGCTGTATACTAGTCAGATGATATGGTTTGCTGTGGTTTGTAATAGACATGCAGGGCAAAAAAAATTAGATTCAGACGAAACAAATGAAAATGAGAAACATTTTTATTAGGGCTGGTAATGATTAAAATTTTCCTGTTCGATTAATAGAAATTTTTTTTAATCGATTAATCGACTAATTTCAATTAATTATAACGCACATACAGATCTCGCAAACTCTAGAGCCACCTCTGCCCACCGGTGACCCTTAGCGCTGCACATTCACTCACCAGCCTGGTGAGACCCCACAGAGCCCTGGTTAAAGTAGATGGTGGGGGGGGAGTCCGGTGACGTCGATGTCCTTGACGTCACCGGATCTCCGACGGAAGACCCGGAAGACGGCGGAGAGGTGAGTACGGATCAAAAGAACTTTGATCGATCAAAATAATTTTGATCGATCAAAGAAATTAACGATTATTCGACAGATTAATCGTTAATTTCCGCACCCCTAATTTTTATTTGTTTCGTCAAAGGAAACTACTTTTAATGTTGTTTTGGATCCAGAGGCAATGAGTCTCTGAATCCGAAACCGCACAAAGAAATTGCAGATCAAGCGGCGGCCATATCGGCCCGCCAGCGTGTTCTGCGCAAGCCGCCATTTTGGAGAATATCTTGGTATACACCAAGATGGCGGAACCTGAACATGTGGGCACTGGCATCTTGGTGTATACCGGAGTCCAGCACATCACTAAGCCGAGAGTCCGAGAGCTATACCCTGTTTCCCCGAAAATAAGACCTAGTTGTGACCATTCCCACGGCCGGTGGTGACATAAGGGGGAAATTAAAGAGCCACGGGAGAGGCAGGAGAGAATCAGCGGTGCCAAAGAAGCAAGCGCTAGAGGAAGCAAGGCGGCAGCGGAGGGAGCAGAGCCTCATAAGCCGATGTTTCCCCCATAGCGCCGGCTCTTGCCACAGGCGGAGTGATACCAAATGCACTCCGCCTGTGGGGAATCGATAGTGAATGTGCACTTCACTCATTCTGGCCAGCGATTGGTTAGCACATTGCTCTTGGAAAGGTACGGCACCCCTGATTGCCCTGATAACCATATGTTTGTACATGAATACATGTAGACTTTTGTACATGAATAAGTGTGGATTGTTGTACAATAAAAAAAGAAAAAAAATATGACCTACCCCGAAAATAAGACCTAGTGTGTTTTTTTTGAGCCAAAAAAAATATAAGACAGTGTCTTATTTTCGGGGAAACACGGTATAAATGTATAATAATAG